TTATGCAAAACAAACGTAGTCATAACCATTAAAGCCTTTCTCCTTTGGGAGGCAAAATGTCAATCTAATTTTCCAGAACAACCTTTCTTTGATGAAAAGGAAAGGGTTGATTTTACTGTGCTGTACAGAGGGCATTTACTTATCCTGTTCTTAATGGACGGACAGACAAACACAAAGTGGAGGAGAGACAGGATGGAACAGATGGTTGAAATATGGATTTTGTTGATGTTTTTTAGAACACTGGACTGCTGATTAGTTATAAGTGGTTGCTTTTGGCTGGCAAGTCGACCATGACACCTACTACTTGGATCCTGGTTTACGATCTGGTCAGGGATGTCATCTGATTGGATCTTTTCTTCTTAGTGGCAGTGACATTGTGCATCTGGCGAAGACACATGACATTGATGGGAGAGCGCTCTCCTGTCGACATAATTACTCTATCTCAATGAGCGGCAGAAGCTATGTTGGCGGGAGAGCGTCTCCCGCCATCATAGCATGGTGTAGACACCGCTTTAAGTCAATGTAACTTACGTTGCTCAAGGGGGTGGTTTTTTCCATACCACTGAGCAATGTAACTTATATCGACTTAAGTGGTAGTGTGTAGACAAGGCAGGCTTGGATGACTACAGCATAGTTGACTTCAGTATTTGATTGAAAGCTAGGGAAGTGAGAGAGGACAGAAGGAAAGAAAATTGAGGGTGGAAGGGATATAACACAATAAGGGAAGGGAAGACAGTGAGGATCTTATGTGCCTTTTCAGTGCTGGCAGTTAGATAACCCCATTCATGGGCTGAGGATTGGATGTCATAATAATATGATGACTTCAGCATTTCAGGTAAAAACAAAGTTCTTTAAACAAGATTAAGGCCAGATGGCCTTCCCCTCAGGTAAAAAGTCCTTTAAATGTGTCGAGGTGAGTTGCAGTGCTGGCAGTTTGGGGGATGCTTTGGGATGCAAGGTGGGATAGGAGATATGAGAGAGAGAGTTGATCTGAATTAATCTGAACAGAATTGATGATGTCCTTTTTCAAAGTCTCTTTTTAAGGAACCCCAAATGGGGAAAAGTGGGCATAACAGTTTATCTCGCTCATTATTTTGTCTACCAATTAGGCCTAATATGCATCAGACCAGTTTTGCTCTATTAACTTCCAATTCCACATCTTCTGTTTTTACCAGTCATAATTTCAACAGTCTTTGGATTATATCAACATGACCTTTTTGGTTTAGACTAATCCAGCTTCTTTTGTCTGGTTCTTTTGCGCTTGTTACAACATTCAATCTTGTAACCAACATGACCTATTTTTCATGGTTATTGTAATATCTGATAAATTTTCACATACTTTTTACATTTGAGCTTACAACAGAAGTACACTTTGCAGGCTCAATTGTCACAACAATGTCCCCTCAACAACACAGGCTACCATGAGCACATCACACCTGTCCTTCACTCTATGCTGGCTTCCTGTAGAATATCTAATCATAGAATCATAGAATATCAGGGTTGGAAGGAACCTCAGGAGGTCATCTAGTCCAACCCCCTGATCAAAGCAGGACCAATCCCCAGTTTTTGCCCCGATACCTAAATGGCCCCTTCAAGGATTGAACTCACAACCCTGGGTTTAGCAGGCCAATGCTCAAACCACTCAGATCAAGTTAAAGAGCTCAGTTCTTACCTTCAACGTGCTCACTGGCCTGCGCCGAGCACCTCTAAAAGATAAACTAAAGCTCTGGGACAAAGACTGTGACTGACAACTCCACTACTCAGGCACTATGGAACTTTCTGACATAAAGGTAAAGTTTGCTTGTGTGACAGACAGAGCTTTCTCTGTGAAACAAACTCTCCCAGAAACTCAGGGCCATCACAAATCACTCACTGCCTACCACTGCAAGTGCTAGAGGCTCTTCTTTGACCTTGCCTTCTGTAAAATAAATAGTTTCAGAGTAGCAGCCGTGTTAGTCTGTATCCACAAAAAGAACAGGAGTACTTGTGGCACCTTAGAGACTAACAAATTAATATATTAGAGCATAAGCTTTCATGGGCTACAGCCCACTTCATCGGATGCATAGAATGGAACAATATATATATATATATATATATATATATATATATATAATGTTCCATTATTATAATGTTCCATTCTATGCATGTTCCAACTTATCTGTGTGTGTGTGTGTGTGTGTGTGTGTATATATATATATACACACACACAGATAAGTTGGAAGTTACCATACGAACTGTGAGAGGCTAATTAGTTAAGATGAGCTATTATCAGCAGGAGAAAAAAACTTTTGTAGTGATAATCAAGATGGCCCATTTAGACAGTTGACAAGTTAAGTATCCTCACACCTTCACAAGTTTCAGAGTAACAGCCCTGATAGTCTGTATTCGCAAAAAGAAAAGGAGTACTTGTGGCACCTTAGAGACTGACCAATTTATTTGAGCATAAGCTTTCGTGAGCTACAGCTCACTTCATCGCAGGCATAGTGTGGAAAGTGTAGAAGATCTTTTTATATACACACAAAGCATGAAAAAATACCTCCTCCCACCCCACTCTCCTGCAGCTAATAGCTTATCTAAAGTGATCACTCTCCTTACAATGTGTATGATAATCAAGGTGGGCCATTTCCAGCACAAATCCAGGGTTTAACAAGAACGTCTGAGGAGGAGGGCGGGGAGGTAGGTTACCTTGCATAATGACTTAGCCACTCTCAGTCTCTATTCAAGCCTAAGTTAATTGTATCCAATTTGCAAATGAATTCCAATTCAACAATTTCTCGCTGGAGTCTGGATTTGAAGTTTTTTTGTTGTAATATCACAACTTTCATGTCTGTAATCTCGTGACCAGAGAGATTGAAGTGTTCTCCGACTGGTTTATGAATGTTATAATTCTTGACATCTGATTTGTGTCCATTTATTCTTTTACGTAGAGACTGTCCAGTTTGACCAATGTACATGGCAGAGGGGCATTGCTGGCACATGATGGCATATATCACATTGGTGGATGTGCAGGTGAACGAGCCTCTGATAGTGTGGCTGATGTTATTAGGCCCTGTGATGGTGTCCCCTGAATAGATATGTGGGCACAGTTGGCAACGGGCTTTGTTGCAAGGATAGGTTCCTGGGTTAGTGGTTCTGTTGTGAGGTATGTGGTTGCTGGTGAGTATTTGCTTCAGGTTGGGGGGCTGTCTGTAGGCAAGGACTGGCCTGTCTCCCAAGGTTTGTGAAAGTGTTGGGTCATCCTTCAGGATAGGTTGTAGATCCTTAATAATGCGTTGGAGGGGTTTTAGTTGGGGGCTGAAGGTGACGGCTAGTGGTGTTCTGTTATTTTCAACACCACTTTCTACAAGCCATTACCCTCTGATCCCACTGAGAGTTACCAAAAGAAACTACAGCATAAAGTGAGCTGTAGCTCACGAAAGCTTATGCTCAAATAAATTGGTTAGTCTCTAAGGTGCCACAAGTACTCCTTTTCTTTTTGCGAATACAGACTAACACGGCTGTTACTCTGAAACCTGTCAGAAGATGAAATGACCATGATGCTGATTGTAATTTGCTTTAGTTTTTTAGAACTCAGAGGATTTAAAGTGGATAACCAGAGGTACAATTTTCATGAGGGAGCTGAAAGAGATTCTTTCCCCATAATGCCCCTAGAGGTGATTTACACAAATTTCCCATTACAATCCAATAACAAAAGGTATGAATGTTCAAGAAAGAGCCAGAGATATCCTGACATGTTGTAGATATGATTATTGATGGGGAACAGGATAGATTCTTGGTTCAGACTACAAAATGTTTGATAATCATAAGCCCAATTCTACATTGAATTACACCCCATTGAAATGCCACAGAAATTGCCTAACATTGATGGTACCATAACTAATAGAAAATTTTGCTTGTCCTGTTCCTTCTTCAGACATAACACTAGGATAGCAGTGTTGAGTAAATGAGGTTAACAGAACATTGATAGAAAAATAAATCAGAAGACAAGCTTCACAACTGGTGTCACCGTTTTCTTCAGAGCATTCACATTGTAGAACGTCCAAGTGCTGCCCTTACCAGCTAGCCTACATGCTAATACACTATTTCACGTAGTTCTATAAATAGACTATGGAAAGCAAAAGTGCAAGTGTTAAAATATGAATCAACCCCCCAGAAAACGTAGTGATTGTGATAAATTATATGTAGGACTCCATATCTGTCACCGAAGTCGCGCAAGTCATGGATTCTGTGACTTTCCGCAGCCCCTGGGGCCAGCCGCACCGGCCACTGCTTGGGCGGCTAACCGCAGGGACTGTCCAAGCAGTGGCCAGTGCGGCTGGGTCTGGGGACCACCCAAGCAGCAGTCCCAGGGCGGTGGGAGCAGCCACAGATCGGTAGCCTCCCAGCGGCAGTCGCGGGTGTGGCTGGAGCAGCAGTGGGTGGGCAGCCCCTGGCAGCTGGCCTTGGCGGTATTAACAGAACATTGATAGAAAAATAAATCAGAAGACAAGCTCCACAAAATTAAGGCTATGATTTAGTCAGGAGTATTTATAGTACAAGTCATGGACAGGTCACGGGCCGTGAATTTTTGTTCATTGCCCATGACCTGTCCATGACTTTTACTAAAAATACCCATGACTAAATCATAGCCTTAATTTTACGCAACAAGTCCTACAGCATTCATTGTGTTTTCTCAAAACAGAAAACTAAAAGCTATCTTTTGGGCAAAGGAAATGACAAGTCTGAAAAACAGAAGGCAATGCTTCACTTAAGTAATAAATACAAGCCTCCTCCTCTCCGACCCCCAAATCATTCATGGGCCAGTTTCTGCAATGTGACTCGAGAAACCTCAAAATCAAATCCATATTGACAAGATGTAAATTAGTATTTGAGTTGACCGGGCTTGGAGAATTGTTTCCTGAAATGGTTCACATCATAACAGCAAGCAGCAGGAATAAAGTGGTAATCAAATACTCTGTCTCTCACCTTAGTTCTAGTGCTTAGTTCCAAGTTTTACTTACCAGTCTTGCACAGCATTGAAGGATTCTTCATTCGTGATGTCATACATTAAAATGAAGCCCATTGCACCCCGGTAATAGGCTGTGGTAATTGTCCTATATCTCTCCTGACCTGCCGTGTCCTAAAACAACAAAAATAATCTTTTATATAAATGTTACCTTGTCAAGTGATTTGTATCTTTCTGAAAATCAGAAGTGAACTTTGAAAAATTTTCATCTTCACACCTTTGAAATTCCATTCAAGTCACTGGGCAGCTTTTCATTCTCTTTTTTTAAAGAGATGAAGGATTGTCCTGTGGTTAAGGCACTAGACTGGGACTTAGGAGATCTTGGTACTATTCCTAGCTTTCCCAGTCAATTAATCTCTGTGTCTCAGTCTCCCACCTGTAAAATGGGGATAATAATACTTCCATTCACACACAGCCTTTGTCTATCTTGTCCATTTACATTGCAAGCTCTTTGGGACAGGGACCGTCACTTATTATGTTAATATAGAGTGCCCAATTTTGGTTAAGGTTTTAAGGTTCTAGTTTAATAAAAATGTTAACAATAATAATTAAAATATATTACAGGAAATAATATAATCATTCTGTTTCAAAATAACACTTATTTGGATTTTTAAAGACCCCAAAGGTATCCTTAAATCTTGCACAAATAGAACATTTCACTGAAATTCCATCAAGCAACGTCTAGTATGAACTTTTACTACACCTACTGTACCATTAACTGCAGAGGTCTTAAGTTAATTCTGGTTTGTTTTTTAAACAAATGCTGTAAGGGAATTATATCATCGCAAAATTTTAATAGTACAAAAATTTATTTTTGCTAGAACATGGAAAGGACTGCTTCAGCTGTTCCCTAGTAAAAGAAACTGACAAAAACGACAAATGTATTAATTGGAATATTTTCTAAAATAATTCTTATGGTACAAGTAGTACCACCTCATTAGAGAAAATATATTTAAATGAGTGTTCTTTTCTGCATGTACATCAATCATCCTACAAATAAAGAAGAAATTAAATTCCACCCACTTCATAAATCAATTATAAGAAGATCATTTTTTTTTAAAATGTAACAGATCTGATTACCATACACAAACAATTTCTTAGGCAGAACACTAGGAGGGAATTCAGGTCAAATTACAGTCACTACAGTCTAGGTTTAATTTTAATGACCTTGCACGGAAAACAAGCATAGAAAGCTAGAGCCTGATACACCTCTTATTTACCTAGATTTACACTAGAGTAACCCCACAACTTCAGTAGAGTTACTCCTGATTTACACCAGTATGAGAGGAGAATCAGACCTTTGATGTAGACATACAATTTCCCATGATACTTCATTGTTCTAGACATACCAGCGGGCTTCATGCACTAGAATTTATCGATCATAGGCTAGCAGTGTCCATAGAGCACAGTCCTTACTAGCTCCCATGGTGTACATCGCAACAGGAAAAGTATGCCACTGAGAAGTACACCAGCATAAATCAGGAGCCGGGCTGGCTCTAGGCACCGGCAAAACAAGCAGGTGCTTGGGGCGGCACATTTCTAGGGGCGGCATTCCGGCGCTGGCCATGCCGCCCCTAGAAATGTGCCCCCATCGCCCCAGCTCGCCTCCGCTCCACCCCCGCCTGCTCCCCTGAGCGTGCTGCCGCCGCTCCGCTTCTCCCCCCTCCCTTCCAGGCTTGCCACGCGCCAAACAGCTGATAAGCCTAGGAGGGAGGGAGAAACCGGCGTGCTCGGGGGAGGAGGCGGTGGTGGTGGAGTGGAGGTGATCTGGGACGGGGAGCGGTTCCTGTAACCCCCCCCGATTACTTCCTGCACTCCCCCCCACCCTTGCTCCCCTCTGCTCCGCCTGCTCCCCTGAACGCGCTGTCTCTCCCTCGCCTGAGAGGGAGGGGGGAGAAGCGGAGCAGCAGCATGTTCAGGGGAGCAGGCAGAGCAGAGGGGAGCTAGGGTGGGGGTTGCGGGGGGGGGAGTCGCAGGAAGCAATGGGGAGGGGAATGCGGCACGCCCGGGGAAGGAGGCAGGGACGGGGATTTGGGGAAGGGGTGGAGTTGTGGTGGAGCCAGGGGCAGGAGGGCACAAAAAAAAAGGCGGGGGCGGCCAAAATTTTTTTTGCTTGGGGCGGCAAAAATCCTAGAGCTGGCCCTGATCAGGAGTACCTCCAGTGAGGTCTGAACAATGTGTAAAATTGCAATTCCTGGAGTTTTGGGTTTGTTCTCAAAGTTCAGAGATGAACTCATGGGTTTGGGAACTCATGAGAACTGAATTTAATACAAGGTTTGCATGAACTGCCACAAACAAAAACTATGGAGTTTCATGGAGCTCTGTTTTATAGCTCTACTGATATTTGTATTCATTTGTCACACAATCAAACACAATGCTGTACCATTCCCACATTAGCCCAATGAAACTTTTCATGGTTCCTAAAGAGTTGTAAGATTCAACAGAAATGAGAATACTATTAAGAGGGCCACATGTAAGCATCTGAAAACTAGAAAATTCAGTTTTATTTATGGTCACCCATCTTTACCATACGTTGAAAACTCATTTTAGAAATATTGCTTTCTGAACACGTTGTTAGGATACAGATATTCAGGCCTGTCGGTAAAGGCCTGTACTCTAAGAATTTAGGTGTATTCTTATCACTTGGCTAGTTATAGAGGTATAAAAGAAAGAATCAAAAATCACTGTCTGCCGGTGTAAGGTCCTTCTCTTACTGGGACAGTCTGAGGCCCTGTCCTTAGGCTAAGGCCTTTGGCTAAGCAGCAGAGGCAGCCATAAGCTGGGAAACGACTGGTGACAGCCTCACATTCCAAACTAGTCACATTGAAAGAAGGTGCTATTGGGCTGTTAGGAATACAATCCTGTCCTGATAATGCCTATCACCTCCAGAGAAAGGGAAGTGCCTACAAAATGTAAAAGGAAACTTCGTTTGATAGCATCCTGTCTGGCAAGAACTCACTTATCAATAGTTGTGATGTGAAATCCTCCCTTCTGCATTGTTTTGTCATTATAGTTCCCACTTTGTTATTGTTTGTCTGTATAATCTCTGTCTGGTTCTGTGATTGTTTCCGTCTGCTGTATAATTAATTTTGCTGGGTGTAAACTAATTAAGGTGATGGGATATAATTGGTTACATAATCATGTTAAAAGAAAAGGAGTACTTGTGGCACCTTAGAGACTAACCAATTTATTTGAGCATAAGCTTTCGTGAGCTACAGCTCACTTCATCGGATTGAAGTGAGCTGTAGCTCACGAAAGCTTATGCTCAAATAAATTGGTTAGTCTCTAAGGTGCCACAAGTACTCCTTTTCTTTTTGCAAATACAGACTAACACGGCTGTTACTCTGAAAATAATCATGTTACAATATGTTAGGATCGGTTCGTTATATTTCAGGAAAATGATTGGTTAAGGTAAAGCTAAGCAGCACTCAAGTTTTACTATATAGTCTGCAGTCAATCAGGAAGTGAGTGGGGGGTGGGTGGGAATGGGAACAGAGAATGGGGGTAAGGAAACTGGAATCATGTTTGGCTAAGGGCAGGAATGGGAACAGAGACACATGTGTAAGACCTGGGTGTCAGAGCTGGGAAGGAGGACACTAAGGAAGGAAACTGGAATCATCCTTGCTGGAAGTTCACCCCAATAAACATTAAATTGTTTGCACCTTTGAACTTCGGGTATTGTTGCTCTCTGTTCATGCGAGAAGGACCAAGGAAGTAAGTGGGTGAAGGAATAAGCCCCCTAACACACATCAATGAAAAATTAGAGATAGGTCCATGTCAAAGACTCAGATCTGACAACTCCCAAACACTGGGCCACTTCTGATCTTCATGAACTTTTGCAACTGGTTCCTACATCTATAAATGACTAAACAAAAAAGTCCAGATCCAAAACAGCATCCTCTACCTTAAATCTGGCAAAGCTTCAATCCAGATCTGCAGCTGAGGCCCATCTTTACATAAAATTAATTATCTACAAACTTTAGTCCACTTGTTTCTCTCCCTTTTTTCTTTTACACATATTTCAGTTTTGACATAGCTGAGAAAGCCTAAACCAATGAACAGAAAGGCTCTAAAATACTGGCTATGAAGTTATCAAAATCTTGGATATAGAGCTTACTGTCTTGGTGACTTATCACTAGAATTTTTCACTGTATGATCTGCAGACAGGTTTTAGTGTGAATCACCTGAAGTAAAATAATATTTTCTCCTGCTTATGAGACTAATATATTTCCCCCTATACAAATCTCAGGTTAACAGACAGATACACAGTCACTGTCAAAAAGTGTCTGGATTCCATATCTATTCTGGACAGTAATACTGTAGACTTGCTATAGGGCAGGCTTTTACTCTAACAGTAAAGAAAGGGTATTAAGCCAATAAAACTATGGGAAATTAAAACTTTTTCTATGAAAAAAATATAAGGAAACTGCTTAAACATGAAGGAAATAAGGTGATATTCCTTCCTCTAATAATGATGGATCCATTGGCTTTCTTGCTTGGCTGAGGAATACAATTATACCTTCATACTTTTTATTTAACAGGCACATGTTGAGAAAACTAGCTGGCTTATGAGACCTTTACAAAGTACAAGAACCCAACACAATCAAGTCCGAGTCCAAACTGGAGACTACCATAAAATATATATTTGCTGCTATTACTAATAAATAGCAAATAGTAGTAGTGAATACTAGTAAATAAAGTAGACTCCCATAATTTCCTCAGTTTAAATTCTTGAAAGCAAAGAGGTCTCCTCTTCCTGTAGCCTCATTATGTGTAGGCAATTTACTTTTAAGTGTATATGCCGCATAACGAAACCACAGTTGGCTTTGGAAATTGACATTGGTACCTCCTTGATCAGAAGAGGCATGGAATAAGATTTGGAGGAATATTTACACTGCAATTTGGTTGTCTCTCTTCTCCAATCTTCCTCCTTTACTATGGTGGAATGTACTCTGGATTCTAATTCAGATGCACAAAACTGCCCTACCAATGACTCTTTCTGATTATATTATGTGATAACTGGTACTGTTATGCACATTATGTTACAGCATCCTTCTACCTATTTATTCTGCAACCAAGATAATTTAGTCTTCTAACAGATAATTCATTTAACA